AAACGAAAAAATTTGAATATATGAATGCTTTAAAAATATTTAACAAAAATTCTATGTATAATAATAATACATTCTAAAGAATAAGTTATTATGCAGATAATGGATGAGATTAAATATCTTGAGAAATGATAAAGTTCTATAAAAAATCAAATTAAACATCTTCAACTGGATCTTCATTTCGCCAAACTCCACTCTTGCCACCCGTCTTTTCAATAATCCGAATATCCTTTATTATCATTCCTTTACCTACTGACTTGCACATATCAAAAATAGTCAGAGCGGCAACGGAAACTGCAGTCAACGCTTCCATTTCCACTCCCGTCTTCCCATCACACTCTACTCTGGCTATAATCTCCACAGCATTTCCACAATCCAACAAGTTCATCTCGACCGAGACACAAGTAAGTAAGAGAGGATGACATAACGGGATCAAAATGCTAGTTCTTTTTGCTCCTTGAATACCGGCTATTCGTGCCACGGATAATGCGTCACCTTTTTGTAGATTATTTTCGCGAATGAGATTGTATGCTTTTTCACCGATGATTATTTTTCCTCGTGCTGTGGCAGTTCGAAAGGTCGGAGTTTTTTGAATTATGTTTACCATTGAGGCCGATCCTGTTGTATTGTCAATGTGACTTAAACTGGCGCTGCTATTGCTATTTGAATTTGTGTTATTAGCAACAGAAGTTGATAAACCATCTTTGATTTGTTTTTTTGTAGTATAGAAGCGAAGATTTCGGTGTTTTGTATGAATTGTTTGTTTTAATTGTGAATTGACCAGGAGGTTGAATGTATGTGGATGGAACAGGGGTATTTGTAATCGCGTAGAATAATTATTTATTCCAGCTGTTAATTTGTCATCTACATACATATTAATTATATTGGGTTGAAAAATGGCGTCGAAATTAATTAAAAAATCATTTTATTTTATACATATAATGCACCCACCTTGATTCAATCAACAACTATTACCCACCTATCAAAATCATGGGTCTATTTTTAGTTGCGGCCAGCTCAAACATACCAGCATGCTGCTTTTTTTTGTTTCTAACAGCCATCCCGATAATCTTCAATATTTGTTCTTCTGGCACTTTATTTCGTAATAAATCACGTAAACTGACTTCTGTATTTCCAAACAAGCATACCTTTTTTTATTGGTTAATCAAACAATTTAGTATCTTTACCGAGGTTTATTTATATGTTGAATCAAGTTTCTAATTTCACAGAGACGTGATTATTTATTTACCTTTAGATTACCGTCAGCGGTAACTCGAAGTCTATTACAAGTTCCACAGAAATGATCGGACATTGATGTAATGAATCCGATTTTTCCCGTGAATCCTGGTACACGGTAAGCCTAAGAATCACATGACTCTCAATAATACATTCGATGTCTCTAACAGAATAACATTTAATAATACCTTTGAAGTATCATGCGAGTCATCCATTAACTTTTTGACATCAGGATACTTATTTGAAAGCATCTTCAGAAGTTCTTGATAAGGAACCATCTTATTTTGATTCCACTTATTACCTAAGGATAGAATCATTCTAAGAGTCTGCAACGAAGATTTACTCCAAAATAATAAATTATCTGAGAAACTCACCGTCAAATGGCATGTATTCTATAAATCGAATATCGAGAGGTTTATCACGCGTCAATTCTACAAAATCCAAGAATTCCTCGTCGTTTACACCGCGGATGACGACACAATTTATTTTTAGAGGTGAAAGACCTAAGGAAATAGCATAGTCGATGGTTTCAAATACGCGTTCTAAACCTTTTAATGATGAAACGCGTAAGCCCAATGTTACACCATATATTTAGATTTGGATTGTAATTGAAAGAGAACTATGAGATAAACCTTTTCGACGCGTAATCAATTCGAATTTAAATGGATCCAAGGTGTCTAGACTAATATTAAGAAGATTGAGTCCATTCTCTACAAGTTGTGGTAATTTACGTTTAAGAGCTATACCATTGGATGTTATGGCAATTGTCTCAAGTCCTAAAGGCTTCAATCGTCCCAATTCGCCAACTAATTCGATAATGTCTTTCCGCACTGTAGGTTCCCCCCCAGTAAGCCGTATCTTGTTAACGCCTTGTGAAACAAATAACTTTGCCAGCCGAATTATTTCTTCTGACGTCAACAGTTTCTCGTTGGACGTCAATTCAACACCGGCGGCAGGCATGCAATATGTGCCTTCACAATTTGCAAAAAACCATGTCAATTTCAAGACCGATAATGAAAAAATAAACGATGAATAAAAGCTCACATCGTAAATTGCATTTTTCAGTAAGGGAAATTCGAAGATACGTATGGTTTCTTTGAAATTTGTCAGTCAAGAAGTTCTTGAAAGGCCTTTGCTTTTCTATGTCGGCAATTTTCGCCTATTAAAAAAAGAACAACCATTACACTCTGACTTTTGATGAAGCTTTAATTTCAAATATTAAGTTACCTTTATTACGTCTCTGTTGATTTTATCAGTGCGAAATGCTGGTTCAATTTGAACTTGAGCAGTATAATTTCTTTCATTCATAAAATTCAAGTTAGCTTGAATTATTGATTTCCTGCGCAAATTCGATGCAAGGAATGATCTATTTCGTATAGAATTTCTGGGAATTGATATTTTCATTATTTCTTTACCGTTGGAAAAACGATACGATCGGATCAGTGTCTCTACCGCGTTTCTTTATTAATATGAATCACTTATGGTTATCGTTATATTTTTATATTTTTAAGTGATATGCATGTTGAAAATTCATTCTACGGTTAGACCCGATGCAGCGATACTGTTACCTATCAACATCCACTTATCGTTGGCTTTGGGTAATTCTTGTTACACGGTTTTTCACGATTCTAGATTTATTTCTCCAATAATTATTGTTATCCACAATGAGTCTTGTAGAGCAAACTGCTTTTGCCACCGAAATCTTGGGCGAATTGAGTTCTCGTGCCGTAAAATATCCGCAGGACTTTGCACCTCCTGCTCAAACTCGACCTAAGCCTGTCATTAAGGTACCATTGATATAGGCGTTTAAAGCGAGGTTTCTATCGTCTGTTACTTATCGTCGTTTTTTAACTAGTCTCTCCTCAAAAACTCAAAAAATAAAGCGCAAACTGGCGGCGCAACTATTCCAACAACCAGCAGCAGTAATTCTATTAATGCACAAGGTTGGCTTTGTAATAACTGAGTTCATTCGTATTAAATGTGAAACACTTAATTTTAATTAATAATTCTATAAAAAGGCAAATTGATTAATGTAAATGTGAAATCATTGAGAGGCGGAGGAATTTATACGATTCAGTTGGCCAATACTGACAGCATAGTCACGCTAAAAGAAAAAATTCGACCACTTGCTCAATTAAGTCCAGCGAATCAGCGGTTGATTCTAAGGGGAAAAGCTTTGGTAGATACAAAAACTCTAGCGGACTATAATATCACCAATGATACTACTATACATTTAGTGCAGAAAGCTGGTAGTATTGGTGGTGGTTCAATTTCCTCGCCTGTGGAAATTAAGTCAACAACAATAACCTCATCTTCATCCACAACCTCTACAAGTAATAATCGACTCACGGACTCGGGAACAAGTACAACAAGAGATCCAAAGTTTTGGTGGGATTTACGTGGATTCTTGCAACAGCATTTTAAAGAGACTGATGATGCTGATCGCGTCTTAAATGAGTTTTTGGGTGTATATAAGGATCTAAATGGAAATATTTCCAATGTTCAAGACTTGGAACGATTAGTAAAGAATTCATAAGACATAAGGAGATGAGGTGGATTTTGAGAAGAAAGAGCGGCTTTTGCTTTGCATCTTTATAATATATTTATTGCTATTCAATTTTGTAACAACAATCATGTATAGAAATAAAGCAAGCTGATAAAATATCGAATAAATAATTAGTCTAGAAAGGATTCTTGATCTTCATCCCATTTAATTAATCCAAGGTCAATACCAAACTGTGTAAGCATTGATTTCATAGTTATACCTAGGGTGCCGCTATTATTATCACTGTCACTTTGTTGCTCTTCATCATCCTCATTTTCATCATCTTCCTGATCTTTTCGATTTTCGCTACTACCGTTGCTATAGTGATTTTCATCCCAACCCCAATTTTTACTGGATCCTCCCCAATTATTACTCGAATAAAAGTTACCTTGTGAGGAAAAACTCGAATTTTGAGCTTCTTGAAATTTGGAGAATAGAAACTCTGCAGCCTCTTGACTTGCACGACGCCATTTCAATATCAGGTTATTTAGCGTGGCGGCTTCATTCTTTTTATTATCAAAAATATTATATCCTCTGTATGAAAATTCCTTACGGGAAAAACTTTTTGCGGAATTTGGAAAATCACCTTTTCTTGATATTTTAACACAGTTTTGGCATTTCGAATGGATTCTTCTACGCTAGAAATTTCTTGCTTTAGTTCTTTTTTTGTCTCTTCTAAAGACTTGAGCTCGGGATGCTTATCAATAATGGTTGAAAGAGACTTGAATTTCTTCATTTTGAATAGAATTATATTTTGTGTATGTATTGATGATATTTACGTGTTTTGACTAAACGTTGCTACTGATTTTTGGTTCGCGTCTGTTGACTTCATATTTAAACTACGTGAATTAAATTTTTTATGATCATGAATTAGTTAGTATTCGACAAAAAAAAGCTAAGTGTTACGTACGTGTTACACCGAAGATTAATAATGTCCGGTTCTTCTCAGGCAAATCCTTCTTTATCTACCTCGTTAAATCCGACGTTCAACACTCATTATAATAGGCTGAGGTTATGCTTGGTATTTTTCGTTCTTCTTTTTAGCTTTGCTTTTTTCCATTTCCGAGAAACGATAACGAATCCTATCCCTTCAAAAAGGCATTGGTAATCCTCCGAAACAAACCATCGCATTTTACAATAAAAGGTATGGGTTTTTTCTAGATCACCTTTATCGTTGCATAAGATGAAGGCTTATCGTTTTTCTTTATAGAATACATTGACTTTGTGCAATGTTCAATAGACTGCTCAACAACAACGGGAGCAGCAAATTGTAGAAAGGACATTCTGGAAGCAGTAAAACAGCAGTTAAAGCGGAAATGTACTTTCGAAGAAGACAAAGTCAACATCAACAATGATTCTCAAAAGAAAGATGTCGTTTGTGCAAGAGATTCTCGAGAACTTGAAGAGCTGAAGAGAGTTTCAAATTCTGATAATCCCTGGAAAAAACGTGCTTTCGAGTTGGAGCATGAAGTAGAACGCCTGAAGCAACGATTATGCGTGTTTAAAATCGGTAATATGACGGTGACTTGAAGAATTTAGGAGACTTTATGATCAGGCACGAATAATATCAGATATTAATAATATTAAAATCCATTATTCATATATGATAAATAGAATTGGAAAACGCCAAACAAATTTCTCAAGTGGCAACCACTACCACCACTGCAAGACGTAAAAGAACAAAACCAACCGAAGATCATAATATTGCATCATCTACACCTTTAGCGACCACGATAACCGCCACCAACAAAAAACCGAGCAAAAAGACGGCAGTGGAGAGCCAAAAAATTACCTCATTTTTTGCGAGTAAAGGATACATCGATCCAGACGCCCAAGCAATAAAACAAATTAATGCCGGGGATGAAGGTTGGCGTAATTTCCTTGATATTTTCATAGCAATGATATTTATCTCGAATTCGTCTTTTCCAAGCATTATTTTTTCATAGGCCCATGGGAATTGTTTGATATCATGCAAGCAATGTCCTTCTTACAGCAAATGAAGAATCTTCGTCAGCCTACGCTGACATCTGCACAAGACTCGATCCTCGCACAAACGATAATAAAAATCATAAATTATATAAATTTTAAATTGACCGCATTGTTTTCTACAAAAACAAGTAGCACGACCTGCAGCAATTTATGGTACACATATTCCTCGTGTGTTCAAAGTTTTGGCAACATCTCTAAAAAGTTGTTAGGTAATTTTTTTTGTCGTTAGTTGAACTATATTCAGATTAATTTCTTCAATGCATTTATATCTAATAATTTCTTGCATGAAATCAAGAATTTCTTAGGTTGCCTACAGTACCTGCAGCACAACATGATGAAATTCTTAGTGCCATAGCCAACGCGTTAGCATCATTGATACGTGCTATCCATCCATTAACAAAAATAATATTTCTCGAATCGTTACAAGACGAGACCTGCGCGGGAAATAATAAAGTTTTTCCTAACAAGGATCAAGATCCCAGAGAGGTCATAACGCGAATACTGGTGAATTTATGCACAAATATAGAACCACGACTTAAGGAGCCTGTTGCCTTTGTTGCTGCAAAGGAGTGCAATCGATTAATGAGGAAAGATCCTGTGTGTGAACATGGCGCTTCTGAGCACACTTTATATCATGACTCGACTTTTTCAAAGGAAAAACAAAAGCAGCAGCAATTCGAGGATGACAATCTAGGTATCTTCGACGAGGTGATATTAAAAGATACAGGATATTATTTGTTGTTTGTGTTGGATAAGATTGCTACTTGTAGTGCTGATAGTGGAGGAAAGTTAAACACGGTTCTTACAGGTAATGTATATATAAATATATTTCGTATACCATTATATCTATTCAATTGCTTCATTCTTTTAATTAATGCTGGTTTATTTGATTTAGCTGAGACCATTAAACATATTGCATCCTTACTGGAATCGGATATCTTTAAAAAAGATACAAATCAAATGGTAAACATGCGCGGTGATTCACTCTCTGTATATATCTCGAACATATTTGAGAAGCTTTGGACTCAAAGGAACAACAGCAATAATTCCGACTTTTCCTTGATTGAGCGAATGATCATTGATTAATTGTAAATAAAATTACTACGCGTTAGCATCTTTGTAATAATTAGTCAACTATGATCCTTTCACGAATTCATGCGATGTGAATTTCATAAATTAAGACAAGTATTAAATTGCCATTATCATTATTACTTTAATCAGTGCACTATGGTAACTGCTTTTGTTTTAAACCATTTCTGAGAAAATTTACAAGATATATTGATTTCTTTTTGTAACTTGAAGGTTAGATGTAGTTTTTGAGTAATCTAGCTACGATCAAGACTTCCTTGAGGAGCATATACATTATTAATGAGATTATATTCGATATATTAATCATAAAACCTCGAAAAATAATATAAGAATTACCGTAAATCGCGGTATAGTACCCCCGTAATAAATCCAAGAAATTTAAACTTCAATTTAATACGACTTTTCTAATAGAAAAAATATTTGTTTTCACAGTGTAATTTCTTAAGAACTTTTAGTTAATAATTTGCTAGCCTTGAGGTTAAATTGAGTAAGTAAAGAACTATATACGGTGGCGACCCATCAGAGGCTAAATTTATTAATAAAATATAGTAAAAATTGAAATTTTCTCTCTATATTAAAATTTATGGTTTTATTAAGAAATAATTTTTATTTTATATCAAAATAAAGTTCATTAGTTGTAGTTTAACATGTATTTTTTTCAGATTTTTTAGATTTTTTCTAAAAGAGTTGTTCTAATTACAAAGTTAATGCAAAAATTTTTATTATTAAATTTCATTTTTGATTAGTAAAAAGTTTTGCTATTAGAATAACTCTTTCAGAAAAAATCTAAAAAATCTGAAAAAAGTATATATTAAACTAATAAACTTTATTTTAATATAAAAATAAAAATTATTTCTTAATAAAATTATAAATTTTAATATAAAGAGAAAATTTTAATTTTACTATTTTTATTAATAAATTTAGTTTCTGATATATTATTTTTGATTGTAATTGTATTATTTTTTATATTAGAATTTTAAATATTACTTAAAATATTTTCTTATATTACAAGATTATAGAGATTATATAATTTAAATTACTTGAATACTTTTTTAATATAATATTATTTATTATTTATTATATTTATTATTTCTTTTTTAATTAACTAATTATTCTTAAATATCTAAAAAAATAAAAAGTTTTATGATATTATCTTGTAAATATATTATATTATATATTTATATATATTTATTTATTATTATAAATTCAGATTAATATAATTTGAATTTATATAATTTGAATTAATATATAATTTATTATTTTGCTAAATTAAGAAAATAGTTAAAATATAGTTTATTCAGAGGTGTCATTGGATCAGTCCAGTTCTAGTCAAATTCTGAATTAAACTGAACTGAAATCTGAATTTATTCCAATTCAGACTATTCAGTTCAGTTCAATTGACACAGTTTATTATTATTAAATTATATTCATAGTTTTTAATTAATTGACTAGAATAGATCCAGTAAAGTAAGTTTAATTATGTGCATATATTATCTAATTACATATATGAGAAAATAAAATTTATTATTATTTCAATTATATATATGAAAAAATAGAATTTTTACAATTCATTGATGTATGAAAATGTATCTAACTTATCAATAAATAATTTACTAAACATCTATTTTGCATAGTTATCTCTTTGAAGATATTAATAATATGAAAGAATATCAGAAGATAAGTCTATTTCAAGTAATAAATCAGTTATTTCTTCATCATTCTAATCATCATCTAATTTTTCATCTTTAAACATTAATTCTCACAATCTTAACATTTTATCCAGTCTATTTCCATTTTTACTAATAATACTTCTATTACTTTTTATTTGTAATTTATCATTACTCTCAGTATCTTGATCAATATTATCTGTTAGTTTAGTTCTTTGAGTCAGATCTTTATTAGTTTCATATAGTATCATAATAGCTTTTGAATAATACATTTGCTTAATTTGTTCAAGTTCATAATTTTAATGAGCTTGATTTATTACACTTTTTATTTAAATCATTATCAAGATTTTTGTATACTAAAAAGCAGATTTTATATAGAATATAATTAGATTATATTAAAAAAATTCAAATCATTTTTTAAATAAATTTACTTCTTATCTTTAATCAATTTCTTGAAACTGAATATAAATAACTCATTAAAGATCATAATTTTTTTTACTGATGCAGTATTTATGCAAATACCTATTATTTAATATATCACAAATCCTAATTCTTTTGTACTCTTTGAGTATTAATTCTAATATCCAAATATATTTTGATTAAACTGATTAAATAACATGTTATTAAACAGAAATTTCTTGATTTAATAATTATCAAACTTTTGCAAAATACTTATTAAAGTAATATCAATCCAAGCAATATAATAATATAATAAATATTTACTTAAATTAATCTAATTCAAACATATCAAGTTCATATTAAATTTGTTAAAGTAATAGTTAGATTAAAGTACTCATGATAAAATAATAATTAGTTATTCTTACTATTTCTATCATTTTTTTAGATAGTTATATAATCATATACTAAATTACAAATCTAGAAGTTCTGACAAAAATTGGTAAAAGTAATCAAAAAAATAAAGTAAATTATAAAGATATGCTTTATCTCATTGTAAAATATTCAAGTAATCACAATATAGCAAAAGTAACTATTTGATAATAAGTATATTTTATCAAAATTCAGAATCATTAATTGGGTCACAGATATTACTAGATAATATCAGATTATCTTCCAGAATTCTTAGAGTACTTTTAATTTCATATAAATACGTATTATTCTAATTATTTGTATTAGTTTATGATAATTCTGCTTCTTCATAAATATCAATTTGAGATTCATATTATACTATAAGTATCTTGATAAATTAAAATTAGAATTAGAAATAAGCAATAATAATTAATAATTTAATAAATAATATTATCTTTAAAGCTTTCTTAGTTTGCAAAAAATTACTTAAATAATAATAATAGCTATTCTAATATGTATCATCAGAAATAATCAAAGCTTATAATTTTTTATATATCATATTTGGATATCTTGAAGTTTTCTAGTGAAATAAATATGACTTTTACTTTTGAAATATATCACGATATAAGTAGCTTTAGTAATAATAGTCTTGTATATATTAGATTCTTTAAATATTGTAACTAATTAGCTTATTTGTGTGGCACAGTAGATGCAGTATAGTAAATAACACAGTCACAACAAGTAGCGTAATAATCACCAATCATTACTAAATCTGCGAATAAGTAATTTATATTAATTAATTTAATTTATTATTAATTCTATTTTTAATTCATATTATTATCCATATTTAGCCTTATTTAAATATTAATTTAGCCATGTGTGTTGCACTTAATTTATAGTTTAATTAAATTAATAATTTCCTTATTAATTATTTTT